GAGGTGACCCGGCCCCTCTCCTGCACACAGCCCTCCTGTGGCTCCCGGAGCCCTGGGGACAGAGCTCGAGGCCCTCAGCCTGGCTTTGGGGCCCCCGGGGGTGTGGCCCCGTCCCTCTCCTGAACCTCACATTTCTCCGTCCGCACCCCTCTGCCGGTGGAGTCCCCCAGAATCCCCTGAGCTCACACCAGCCCCCCCCCCCCCTCCCCCTCTGTCGCTCTCTGTCCGGTTCCACTGGTGTCACGCCCAGGGACGTTGTTCTTCTGTCCATGAGGCTCTCATTTGCCTTCTGGGGGCTCCCATGATGCCTCCTGTGACCTCCATTGCAGCACATGTCACTCCGAGCTGTAAAGACGGACAGGCCGGGGGGATTCTCAGGGGCTGGAATCGGAGCTCTTTGGTCCCCAGGGTCCCCCCACCCTGCCATCCCAGCTTCCCTCTCGGCCCTCCATACAGACCACCCTCTACCTGGCAGTCAGAGGGACGATTTATCTATCTATTTATTTATTTAAAATAGATTTTTATTGATTTCAGAGAGGAAGGGAGAGGCACAGAGATAGAAACATCCATGACGAGAGAGAATCATGGATCAGCTGCCTCCTGCATGCCCCCCACTGGGGATCGAGCCTGCAACCCAGGCATGTGCCCTTGACCGGGAATCGAACCGTGACCTCCTGGTTCATCGGTTGACGCTCAACCGTTGAGCCACACCGGCCAGGCTCGATTAATTTCTATATGTGCCCAAGTACGTGCCCTCTAGATCAAGATCTAGGACATTCCAGGACCCCAGGAGACTTTCTTGTGTCCCCTCCAATTCAATTCTCCCCAAGGAGAACAACTCACCTGACTTCTGTGGCCACAGGGTTGCCCGCCTTTGAACTTTATACAACTATGCGCGTGTCTTGCTTCTTTCGCTCCAGCTCATGTCGGGACTCTGTTGTTGAGTGTGTCAGTATGTAGTTCTTTTTTATTGCTGAGTACTATTCCACTGCATGCGCCATAACACAGTTTCTCAACGCATGGCCTCTTTCCAGATCGGGGCTGTCACGAGTAAAGCTTCTATGAGCATTTTTGTCCATGTCCGCGGATGAATCTGTATTTTCATTTATTTTGACTTCATACCCCTGAGTGGAATGGTTAAGTCATAGTCTATGTATAGGATTAACTTTAGTAGGTGGGGCTATGGTTCTCGAAAAGTGGTTGAACCAGTTTCATACGCCCACCAGCTGTGTGTGTGAATTTCAGTTGCTCCACAGGTTTGCCAGAACTTGATACTGTCTTTCATTTTAATAATTCTAGTGGGTGTGTAGTAGTACCTTGTGAATTCATTTTTCACTAATCAGATAAATGATTTTTTAAAATATATGTTTTTATCAATTTCAGAGAGGAAGGGAGAGGGAGAAAGAGATAGAAACATCAGTGATGAGAGAGAATCACTGATCGGCTGCCTCCTGCACACCCTCTCTAAAATTAAAAATTACAAATAAATATGTCCTTTCTCAAAATTATGAAGCTATTCTCCCATCTTCTTCTAAAAGACATTGGTAAATATTTTTCTTATTTGTAAATAGCTTTCATATTTAGCTATACGATTCATCTCGAGTTAATTCTATGTAATGGTGTGAGGACAGGGGTCAAGGCTCATGTGTCCTTCATGGATTTCCAGTTGAACCAGCATTGTTTGTTGACCATCATCCCGTCTTCCCCACTGAATTGCGTTGGGGCCTTTTTCCTAAATTAGGTGTGACTCTGCTTTTAGACACTTTTCCATTCCACTGATCCGTTGGACTGAAATTGAGTCAATAACGTAGATTTGTGGAAAGTTTTGGTATCTAGTAGTTGAGCTTTCCAGCTCTGTTGCTTTGGTTATTCTGTGTCATTTGCATTTCTGTATACATTTCTGCTTGTGAATTTCTGCCCAAAAGAAGTCCTGTTGGGGTTTTTATTGTAATTAAATTGTATCTGTAGGTCAGTGTGGAGAATCGACATCTTAACAACATTGCCTTCTAATCCATGGTTTCAGTATATCCCTTTACTTGTTTTGAAGTCCTTTAACTTCTCTGAGTAATAACTGGCAGTTTTCCAGGTAGAGGTCTCACACCTCTTTGGATAGATTTGTTCCTAAGTACTGACATTTTTTGATGATTCTGTAAATGGTCATTCTAAAAATTTCATTTTCTAATTGTTTGTAGCTAGTTTATAGAAATACCATTGCCTTTTAAAGTATTTCTTATTTACTTTAAATAGATTTTTATTGATTTCAGAGAGGAAGGGAGAGGGAGAGATAGAAACATCAATGATGAGAGAGAATCATTGATTGGCTGCTTCCTGCATGCCCGCTACTGGGGATTGAGCCCGCAAACAGGGCATGTGCCCTTGACCAGAATCGAACCTGGGACACTCCAGTCCACGGGCTGATGCTCTATCCACTGAGCAAAACCAGCTAGGGCTTAAATATGTTTTTAAACATCAGCTGCCTCCTGCAGGCCCCCTACTGGGGATCAAGCCTGCAACCTGGGCATGTGTCCTTGCCTGGAATCAACTGGCAACCTTTTGGTGTATGGGACAACGCTCAACCAATTGAGCCACACCAGCCAGGGTGAAATACTATTGATTTTTATATATTTCCCTGTATCCAGAAACATTTTTGAATTTACTTATTTCTATTAAATTTGTATAGCTTCTTTTGGATTATGTCATCTTTGACCCATTTTATTTTCCTTTGCAATTTTAATACCGTTTATTTCTTTTTCTTATCTTGTTGCTCTGGCTAGGATCCCCAGTACAATGTTGAGTAGAGTGGTGATAGTGAACATCATGTATTCTCAAGTTCACACGTAAACTTCACTTGATCATACTGTATTATCTTTCATATAAATGACTTGATTCTTCTACCCTGGCCGATGGCACTCAATGGTTAGAGCAGGGGGTCCTCAAACTATGGCCCGCAGGCCACATGCAAATACAAATATTGTATTTGTTCCCGTTTTGTTTTTTTACTTCAAAATAAGATATGTGCAGTGTGCATAGGAATTTGTTCATAGTTTTTTTTTTAAACTATAGTCCGGCCCTCCAACGGTCTGAGGGACAGTGAACTGGCCCCCTGTTTAAAAAGTTTGAGGACCCCTGGGTTAGAGGATCGGACTGTGCCCTGAAGGTCTCAGGTGCAATTCCTGGTCAGGGGCACGCACCTAGGTTTCAGGATGGATCCCTGGGTTGCAGGTTGGATCCCTGGTCCCAGCTGGGGTGCATGCCGGAGGCAACCAATTGATATGTCTCTCTCACATGGTTTCTCTTTCTCTCTCTTCCTCCCTTTCACTCTCTCTAAAAATCAATGGAAAAAATATCGTCGGGTGAGAATTACCAATAAATAAGTAAATAGATTTTTTAAATGACTTGATTCTATCTGTTAATGTGTTTGCTTTTTTAAGGGATTGTAGTCTATTTGCATGAGAGATATTGGCCTTAAATTCCATTGCTTGTTATGTCCTTGTGAGGTTTTGTTATCACGGTTACCCTGGCTACCATGCTAGGAATAGCTTCCTCTTTTCTCAGTTTCCTGGAAGAATTTGTGTAAGAACAGGATTATTTCTTTCTTAGTTGTTTTGAAGAATTCACCAGTGATGTCATCTGGGCCTGGCATTTTGTTTGTTGAAGTTTGAATTTATGGATTCAATTTTTTAAATACTTAGTACTACTCAAGTTTTATCATGTCAGTTTTGGAAAGTTGTATGTCTTAGGGATTTTTCCAGGACATTCAAATGTGCTGGCATGAAATTTTTTTTTTTTTTGGCATGAAATATTTCATAATTCCCTCTTACTATCTTTTTTCCTCTTTCTTTCTTTCTCTCTTTCTTTCTTTCTTTCCTCCCTCCCTCCCCCCCTTCCTTCCTTCTCTCTCTCTCTCTCTCTCTCTCTCTCTCTCTCTCTCTTTCTTTTTTTGTTAATCCTCACTGGAGACTTTTCCATTGATTTTAGAGAGAGTGGAAGGGCGAGGGGAGGGAAGGGGTGAGAAGAAAGAGAGAGAGAAACATTGATGTGAGAGAGCCCACATCAATCACTTGCCTCCCACATGCACCCCAAACGGGGCGGGGAACCTGAAACCCAGGTACGTGCCCTTGACCTGAATCGAACCCGGGACCCTTGGGTTCTCGGGCTGACGCTCTAACCACTGAGCGCACCGGCCAGGGCGCCCTCTTACTATCTTTGTAATGAGTCTAGGTCTGTCTTATTCTCCCTCAGCATTCCACTTTCAGAGTCTGTTGCCCTTTCATTTATTTGTACACAAATCATTTGTCTCTCCCCTTAGAGCAGTGGTTCTCAACCTTCCTAATGCCGCGACCCTTTAATACAGCTCCTCATGTTGTGGTGACCCCCAACCATAAAATTATGTTCGTTGCTACTTCATAACTGTAATGTTGCCACTGTTATGAATTGTCATGTAAATATCTGATCTGCAGGATGTCTTTTCATTGTGACAAATGGAACATAATGAAAGCATAGTGATTAATCACAAAACAATCATCTGTAATTTATGTATTTTCCGATGGTCTTAGGCGAGCCCTGTGAAAGGGTCGTTCGACCCCCAAAGGGGTCGCGACCCACAGGTTGAGAACCGCTGCCTTAGAGCCTAAGCTCCATGAAGGCAGGGACTTTGTCTCTTGTTCAGAGTGCCTGGCACGGTGGATGCCCAGCACAGGTGCGCTGAGGGAGGCACGGATGAGGGCCGGGTACCCCGATGGCGGGCAGCTGGGTCCCGGTCCCCCTGGGCGGGTCCCTCTCCTTTTACCATCACATTCTCCAGGCGAAGCACCGTGCAGGGCCCGCGGTGGGACCAGCTGAAGGGACTGGAGGCCCGTCTGGGTCCCTGTCCAGCCCCTCCCTGGCCTGGAGCCCTGGGGTCCGAGGCCCGGGTCCGGGGGCTCAGGCCTGTCCGCTGTCT